CCTAGTTTCTCCGTGTTCCCACTCACTTCTCTTTTACATCTTGCACACAGGACGTCTTCGTCATTTTTTGGCTCTTTCTCCTTGATTCGTTCAAAGACACTAGGATGTGGTCCAAGGTCCTCTTCTCCATCATCTATGACCAACTTGAATTTTGACAACTTGTTTTTGAAACCAGACGTCACCATGTTTACTCCAAGTGGCTGTGGAAAAAGATTTTCATCCACTACCATCTTCTTATCGTCGAACGTAATTCGTCCTGATTCAATGGCATCCTGCAATACATGGCGAAAAACCAAGCAATTGTTAGTCAAATGTGACCATGCATTATGCCACTTACAATATTTTTTACCCTTAATTTGTTCAGGGTTTGGCAATTTATGCTTATCGCTCAGTTTTATCTGCTTATCCCTATATAATTTATCAAATATAAGGTCAGCTTTGGTTACATCGAACGAGAATGTTCTAGCCTTTATGTTTCCATCTTTCATGGGCTCATCTTTGCCCGATGATCTAGGCTTAGCCATTATAGGACAAGTATACGTGTCTCCTTTGACCAATTCGGCCAAACACATTTCAGCTTGATCGTATGACTCATCGCTGATGGTATGAACGTCAAAATTTAGGTCTTTGTAATAAGTCCCTTTACTAGAGTTTTTTATCTGCTCTTCTTCTCTTATCAGTCGTTCATACCTAATCACATTCGCACTCAACTGGAAAAGGTCAGGAAATTCCCTGTCTTGGAATTTCTTTTTTAAATCAAAGCTCAAACAACCCGAGCGATTTTGACAAATTCTTTTTCGGGTAGAGGTACAAAACACTTGCTTCTTGTTGTCTTGAACCTTTGGAGAAAACTTTCTGCCCATTCGTTTGGCATTTGACGTAGATTCGCCAAATCAGTCAAAGTAACTTCAGACTTAGTTTTAAAAAATTGAGCGTGGAATAATTGTTCCAATTGTTGCCAGGTTTGAACAGAGTTCGCTGGCAAGTTGATGAACCAGGAGAAAGCTACTCCTGTTAATGAACTAAGGAAAAGCCTTATTTTATGGTAATCAGTTATATCACCACTTTGCAATGTGAATCACCCTATGTGTTCTAGAGTAGACACCTCCCCTAAACCGGTAAACAGTGAGAATTCTGGCACTTTATACCCTCTAGGCTACGGATATACTTGGTCTACCCAATCAGGATATGACTTTGTGTAAGCCAGCCTAATAATAGGACGCACTCCAAAGCCATCTGATCTTGTACGATTTCCATAATCTGATTCCTCAACATGACGTTGGGGTCATATGGAATTCCCACAGGTTGGTTAACCGGTTAATTTGCATGAGGCCCGATATTTGGTCCTTGATTGGCAACAAAGTTACCATGATTTGGGCCATTACCATTAGCCTGAACATCTATCCCCTCATTAACACGTAGGGTATTGTATCCATTGTTTAGGACATTATCTCTTACATTTGGATTATCCCCCAAGTTAGGCGCACCACTACCATTGTTCTGATTTGGCACTGCACCACCCCCTTGGTTTGAAGTAGAGGGACCAGAAAGTGGTTCTATCCCTTGATTCGGATTTAGGACTGAGGGATTATGTCCCACAATTGTCCTAGTTTGAAAGTGATTTGCAAGAGGCATAACCGGTTAACATATTTGGCCTACTAACTTATTCATTATTTCGTTCAAAGTGTTTAGTTGTTTGGCCATGTTGTCATAATGTGCATTCCCATTTTGGGTAAATCTTTCCATATTATGAATATTTCGAAGATTTACCTGTTCAACAACATCTTGTATAAGTTCTCCAAGTAGTGCACGCATAGTTCGAGGAATCAACTCTGTCATTGGTTCGTAACGACTGTTACTGCTCTGATTCTGTCCATCTGTTCGTGGAGAGGCATGCTACTCCTCATATCGCTCGATCACAGACTGGACTCCTCCCTGACTTGCTGCTTCCTTATCGAATCTCTGAGGCATATTGTTTTACCTTTTGTATTTTCAACACCAAACACCACTGGACATGCCAAATTGTTTCGCGCGGGTTCGTCGCTAACAATTAAAAAGGGATCGGACGATTGTGTAAGGGACAAACCTCTTGAAACAAAGTCCCAAAAATGGGTGTTCTTTATTGGTGATGACTTTACAATCGGAAAGTAAAAACAGAATGCCTTCAAGGGGCGCAAACACACGAGTTACTGAAAGCACACGAGTTACTGAAAGAAGTGTTTAAATCTAAATTAAGAAATTTAAAATTACATGCTCTCTGTTCGAGAGTTTTTGATTCAGGGTCCTTTGCTATATGTTTTTTCTTCCTTTTATACTTCCTGGATGATCTCTTTATGATCAACCGCCTAAAAACTGCTTGATCGTTCTATAACTGCCCACTTTCTTCGTAATGGCCAACTTGTCATGAAACTACATTTTCTAATTGCTGACATTACTCTTTGTCGTTCAACCGTCTTCAATTGAATTTCTTGAATCGTGGAACGTGATAGGGCTGCTTAATAACTGCTTTGATAACTGCGCTTCTTGATAACCATAACACTTCATGTTTGTTAATACCTTGGACGACTCGAAAATTTGGGTGAGAATAGAGTAACAGCTCTGGGCGACTGCATGGCATTTCATTCGCTCAGATCCTGGGCGACTTGCAAGCTTGGGCGATGGTGTTACCGCGTTCATGGGCCTCTCTATTTGGGCTTTCATCCTGAATTGTCTGATTGTGCTTCATTCTTTGGGCTATCTGATTTGGGGATCCTCCAATTGGGTTTCATTCCTTAAGCCGTTCGATTTGAGCTGAAATTTTATGTGTCAACAGAAGTTTTTGTCAACCAAAGTTTGTACAAATATCTTACTCCTTAATCCTTTTTATTTTGTGTATTGCGTAGATGTCGAGAAACCCAGTAACTTGACCACAAAACAAAATATACTCTTCTTTGTTTACAATTTTTCTGTCCAATTTTAATCCAATTTTTGACCGTTGCTGAACTGTCAACCGTGATTGTTGATTTCTTCCCTCACACTTGGTCCCACGCGTTGGCAAAAAATGGACAACAAATGAATTATTTTCTTCCAACATTTGGAAACAAACAGGGGATATGTGAAAACTGAAATTTCTAAAAATAAAATGAAAAGAAAGTTTTGGGGCACACGTGGTAGCCATGAAATCATTGAAATGCTACGTGTGCATAAGTCTTATCATGGTGGATCTCAATTTGAAGTTAAACAGACTCCAATTGTTACTTGAAGTCCGTCCACCTCTTTTCTTTCATTGGAATGCATCATTTGATAAATCCTGTGCATATGAATTAAGCAAAGCAAAGGCTATGATTTGATATGAAAAGGAAAGGTCATATTCACTAAATTGTTCATTTTGACGGATCACGAGCTGCTAGAAATTAACAGATTAGTTGACATAGGAAAGTTGACGGGATGCAAACGATGCTGATTTTTACTCGCTAATTATTATAATCTAGACAACACAACAGATCATCAGATCGTCTTGAAAAAATAATTAAAAAAAAAAATCAATGTTCGTTATTATTATTTTATTTTTATTTTTATTTTTTAATATTTTTTGACAGTTTCTGCCAAAAGTACTAAATCGACTGCACATAGCTCAGCCCATCAAAACTCACTCTTTTTGGGCAACAACTCTTAGGGCCTATTTAATTTGAGGAATTTTTCATGAAAATTTTCATTTTTCACCTTTTTCTTTGTTTGATTGTAAGAATTCTCTTGATCATTGATTTTCCATCCCCTCCTCCACGTGACCCCTTTTTTCTTGGTTTTGTGGAATTTCAATTCTTATGGGTTTGGTGAGAAATCAGTTTTCCAGCCTTTTATTTTTTATTTTTTGCAATGAAAACAAATTCTATCCACAATTATAACAAATTATATCCCTTTAATTGACAATTTTCATGAAAAATAAAGCCAAACAAACGTCAAAATATCCAAAATTTCAACATTTTCTAAGGTTGAAAAATTATATCAATCAAACATATTTAATTAACAATTCTCAATAAAAACAAGTTCTATACAATTCAATTCTCTGAAATTTATTTTCTTTTCACCCAAATCTCACTCTTACAATCAAAACAGACCCTTATAGTATACAATGTTCCTGTCCACTTTAAAATGACATAATTGGTTTATTATTAACCGTATTTTATATTATTGTTTATGGATGAATAGGAATAATATAACCCTTTCGTGACTCAAATAGTCGTGCACCATCAATGTCATTCGGTATAACTAATCTTTTACGTAATCATTAAATGATGCCCTAAAATTGAATATGATAAAATAAAGATTATGACAATATGCTTAGAGAAAAGATTATAGCATAAAAGACGATTTATATGAACGAGGTTAACATTCTTACTTCTGTCAATGTATAGTTTTGCCAAGTTTCTTCCACATTCACATATGGATATGGATGTAAGTAGCCCAACTTGTGTAACACCCATATATGTTGCCATACATGGTAATATCTTTAGATTATAATTATTTCGCATTTTCGAGACTCGAATAACCATGTACCATCCTATTAATTGGATCTAACTAATTTTCAAAGGAATCACTAAGTGACACTATAAAAGCAAATATGATAAAATCAAGATTTTGGCAATGTCTTTAGATCAAAAGATTGTAGCAAGAAAAAGAAATTATTTGAACGGGATTAACATTCTTGCTTCTCTCATGCACAGTCGAGCCACGTTTCTTCCACATTCACTGGTGGATGATAGAAGTAGAGTAATGCTATATACTTGTGTAGTCCAACTCGTGCAACACCCGTATATGTGGCCATATTGGATTAGTCCAATTGAACTTATCTTTATTATCATGTATTACCACATATACAAGTCAATTGGGATACATAGCATTACTCATAGAAGTAATACACACAGACGCATTCTTTAATTGCACAAAAATTATCCAAGTTTTATGGGATCTGTACTCTTATTGATCTCAACAACAGGCTTGGTAACTCCATAACAGCAAAATAAAACCCAACGTAAGCAACTTCCTCGAATAAAAAGGTTAAAAAATAAAGATGTTATGGATATGATAGGGATAAAATTGACACTGTGAAGATTTGTTTCAAGCCAAGGCCAGCATCCTAACAATATCTAAGGCTACATCATGGAAATTCAATATAGAGGCGAGCCCACGAAGAAAGGAAAGTCCAATAGGACAATAAAGACTCTTTGACTCGTACAAGCTCCACCTACAATATATGAGACGAGGACGACAATTTAAAAGATCAAGATAATTTGATAAGACCTAAAAGTAAATTATATCTCAACCAAAGTCCAAGATTACTTGAGATCTAATAGAAAAACGAGTTACTTGCCGGATATACTTTTACCCATGCTATCCTCTCTACTCAAACTTCATAATATTTCAGCATCCGAGTGGAAGTGGGAATACCGTGCTGCCTTTATTACGGGTACCATCAGATGCAGCAAGGAGCAAGCAAGACATATCGTAAAACCAGAATATTTCTTTACTACAACTTGAGAGCTTAAGACGTGGAAATGAATCATCAAGTATAAAACATCAGTAACATTCTACTTCAACTTGTCATGGTAAAAAATAATGGCTTGAATGTGTTGCACTTAACACAAAACCTCAAAATTCATAAATAATTAACATCCAGGACATCAATTTATTCGCTAAATCTTTGAAAGAGCCAATTTTTTCTCATATAGCTTCAAGAGCCCAGGAACTTCCCCCTCATAGCGATGCACATATCTCCGTAAAAACTCCTTTTCCGGATATACCAACATTGAGACCTTGACCTTATTGATCAAACCTTTCTCCAACAAAACTTTATAAACAGAACATCTGGGGATAATCCTATTCCCTAAACTATATGAAAGTAGTACAGGCCTATTCAAAACGTAAGAAGATTCAAACCCCATCTTGTTTATAAGAAAATCCATTTTCGTGGTTATATTATCTCTGGATATCATCATGCAATAAGGATGCTTCTCGAATGCCGAGATAATCTCACCTTCCGACCACCACTTCTTATAAAGCGCCACCTTCTTCTCCCAAGTCAATTTATTCATCGACCTCATCGCATGAACTGCTACAATAAACTTCGGAGTCGATGGTCTAAACCCCAGCTCCTTAACTTCCTCGACAACCTTTTTAAACCTCTCCCTTCCTACCATCAGTGTTCTTGGCTGGGTTTGCAACAATTCCACAATTTTCGATTCAAGGACTCCAGCCTCTCTTAGAACTTCAATATTAGGCAACAACTGAAATTGAAGATCACAACAGAAGATCTCAGCTAAGCGTTTCATTGAACCAAAACTTTTCCCATTCGACTCGAACAAACTCTTAATATAATTATAAGATGGTATTATTTGTTTCTCCAAACTCCTCTTGAAAGTATTAGGCGCCCCACAGAAAATACTCACCATGTCACTCTCAGGCATGCCTAATGACCGAAAAAACTCGATTTTCGGCAAAATAGTCTTCTGAGGATCACATACTATTATTGGAGGGCTCCTTTTCACCATATGTGCAATTTGTTCTACCGTAAAACCATGACTCTTCCACATTGCAACAACCGAGTCGGGTTTTTCTGTGGAATCAAAATTCACGTACTTGGAGGCTGAAAGAGCCTTTTCTGGGGAAAACCCCCATGTATTCATGAGGTAATTAGCCGTAAAGTTTTCTTCATTTTCATTTTCTGGTCTGGATTTTGATTTGTTTGTTGCTGCTGAAGCAAATGGGCTGAATTGAACAAAACTGGATTTAGGGTTCTGTGAAATAATCCTAACGGAGGACCTATGAATCCCATGAAGAAAAACTCTGTAAATTGCATTAAACATTGCTGAAACAATAAATTTTCGGAGATGACTCACCTTTGATTGAGTTGAACCAGGCGTAAACTTTAAAATGTCATCCGCTTTTATCACATAACCTTAAGGCCAAATCCTAAACGATTTCCTTTTTCTTCTTTCCTTCGTATTTGCCATTTGGGAAAAGTTATTTTCATAATTGGTCATTGAAGTTTGTTGGAAATATCACATTCATTCTTAAAGTATTCTTCTAACTTATTTAGTCATTGAAATTAAATAATGTTACCTATTTAGTCTCTTTGCTTGTGAAAATAATTTCCAATCGAACATAGTGCCCAATCAATGTTAAGTGGACTGGTTGCATTAATTTAAATCATCAATTATGATTTGTTCAACTGAAAAACTTATCCTTGTTATATTTTTTAAAATCATTCTAATACTAATCTACCGTCAATCAATCATTCATTGTATCCTTAGGAATCTCATCCTGTAAGGAAAAGAATTTCTAAATTCAAACAAGGATTTTTGGATAGTGGGACAAGGTCGAGGCATGGCAATGTGAAGGAAGGATGGAACTTGAAATATATTCGTAGGGATGGTAAAATTCTTCACCCCTATTCTTTTTATTTTTTTAAACATTTTTCAATTTAAGTTGTATTTAAAAAATAAATAAATGACTAAACGGGATGGTGAAATATAAGGCCGTGGTTGGTTTGCTGTTTTCGGCCCATTTTTCGTTTTCTGTTTTCGAAAATGCGGAAAATGCAAAAAGACTTTTTATCGTTTTCAGTTATAAATGTCAAAAACGCTCAAAACGAGGAAAACGGGTCGTTTTGAGGGAAAACTAAAAATCGTTTTGAAAATGAAAATGCAAACCAACCATTACCTAAATGTTTTAATTTTCGACTTGGCCTGCCTTTCAAAATATCCTCGATTGGATGGGGGACAAGGATGGTCCCCCTTTTCCCGTCCCATTGCCATCTTGACATCCCCATTTTTTTTTAATTATTCAATTTTTAGTAAATATTTTAATACAATTTAAATTTAAAAAGTAAAAAAATAAGAAATAATAATCGAAGACGATAGGGTTGGGACAACTTAGAGACATTGTGGGGGCGACCATTTTGTCATCACATACTATAGTAAGTTTAAGATATGGTTGGTCATATTGACACTACAATTTTTTTATTAGTGCACTATATTTTTATTGTATAAAAGGTTCCTAATCATTTTTACTAACTTTTAAATTTCATTCTTATTATCAACCTTCTATTAAATAGCATATTTTATTTCTGATTATGATTTTGTCCAAATATTTTATTAAGATGATGTAAAAGACTTATTTATTTTTCATATTTCTAAATAAGCAAAACTATAAGAAATATAAAGGGACTAAATATTTTTTCCTTATTTTGGCCAACATAACTTTTGGACACAAATCGTCATTGGAAATAATATGTGTTAATGATGGAAGGTTGAGGAAAAGAATGCAATTAAAAAAATTGAAGACGTGATTGTGACAATAAATAAACTTTGTGAATATTTAACGCAATTAAAATATGGTGAATTTAAAAATGCAGTGTTACCATTAAGATATTATTATTGTAATACTAAAAGTACAATAAAGAATGCATCAATCCTATTCCCTTATGAGAAAAATAGAATGATTAATTTTGACAAATTTATTAATGTAATAATTTGTGGGGAAAAAAAAGATAAATAAGAAATAATGGATGTTTCTGCAATTTTTAATATTAGAGTGGGTGTTTCTGAATTTGTCATAAACTTTAAGGGAGGTATGTGAAATTTAACGTTAATTTTAACAGTATGCATGACCCATAACTATTATTCATAATTAAGGCTGTAAATGGATTGAATATGGATCGGATTTGCTCATATCCAATTTGATAAGAATAATTATATGATCCGATTCGATAATTCAATGGAAAATTGACTGTTAAATTCATATTCGATTTGCTATTTTATCGGATATCTGATCCAATAATTCAATCCAAAATTGAAAAATTTAGGAGGATAAAGATTTTATATTAGACAACTTCTAAGCACTAGAATTAAAATGCTCGGATAGCTTTTCATTCAATTTTGGGTCCACTTATTTATAGCTTGCAAATCCTTTGATGTTCTAATGGGTATTCAATGTGTGAAGTTGGAAACGACGAAAGCAATTCTAATTGTTGGCCCCTTTGATTGTTTTAATTTATAAAATAAATTAATTACTTTTTATCTTATTTTAATCAATAAAAATTAAAAACTCTCCAAATATTTCAATTAACAATATTATACTATTATCTAATATTATTTATTATTTGAAAATTACTTGAAAGTATAATACAAGTTTCAAATAAAAAGCTATCTTATTTTAATTAATTATATCGAATTTGGATCGGACTCGGATAAAAATCCAATCCATTCAATTATGCTTTGTGACAGTTTGCCACATGGCAAACTGTTATTCGTCAATTTAAAAAAAAAAGGCCGTTTTCTCTTGCCCACAATTTTCTAAAAATAAAGGCAATGTCGACAAAGATGTCAAGTGAAGAATGTACAATGGCAAAATCCCATGAGAATTTGTTATAGGGACCATGCTGGAGTGCGAGAAGAAAATTGACATCCCAGTCGACAGATCCTCATAGTTGGGGTGGGTGGGGTGCGATTTTTTACATTTTTTTATTCATGTGGGGTTGGCGCGAGTCCCATTCACATGTGATGATATGTCAAAACGGTGGGCACTTCCTTTTTGGCAGCTTGGCATTTTCGTTTGTTATAGTGAAATTACTGTGTGTATTAGCCATATTTATGGGGGTAATAGGCTAATAGCCGTTGTTATAGTGTGGGTATTAGCCATAGTGTGGGTATTTTTTTTTTTTGATAACCCAGGTGTCCCAACTTAGCCGGACTAAATCCTGGACCTCTAGCCCCCGGCCCCTCAGTGACTAGTGGAGGTAAATCGCAGGTTGTGCCCTTGTTGGTTCCCAGGTTCCCACATGGCTTTTACTCCTTCCCCAAAGGAACCCTCCTCCATGATTATTACATCACCAAGCTGCTCCAACCCTTCCTCTTGGGTGGGGTGCGATTTTTTACATTTTTTTTATTCATGTGGGGTTGGCACGAGTCCCATTCACATGTGATGATATGTCAAAATTGTGGGCACTTCCTTTTTGGCAGCTTGGCATTTTCGTTTGTTATAGTGAAATTAGTGTGGGTATTAGCCATATTTATGGGGGTAATAGGCTAATAGCCGTTGTTATAGTGTGGGTATTAGCCATAGTGTGGGTATTAGCCATATTTATGGGGGTAATAGGCTAATAGCCGTTGTTGTTCTGTATGTGCGTATAGCTTGACAGCATCAAGCTTTTTCCAGTAAAATTAGTTTAGCAGATTATCAATTAATCTTTAACTAAAGTATTTTACAATATTGTAAAAATGAATATGGCTAGTCACATATACTCCATTAATTTGTACATGTTGATAGAGGGTCACTTTTACATTATTATTATTAATCGTATATTTTATTGTGCGTTGCTCGAGGACAAAAAGTTAGTGGAAATGAGGATGTTGATGAATGGGTAAAATTAGAAATACAAATGTGTCAAAAAGTGAATGTAATATTGATTTTGTCTAGCGCATGATTAGTTTATATTTATGAACTGTTTATAGTTAATCAGGTCACATTTTATTCACATATTTCCTATAACATAAACCAACACCACGACCTATAAACAAACCACATGGCCTCCATTGTCGCCACAATAACATTTAAACTCTATTGCTATCGCTGCCGCTACCACCACCGCCTCCCATATCCTTCACCATTGCTCTGTCATTGTCAACGTAACCTTCCCCGCCACCAGATTTAGAAGTTCAAATTCATATAAGAAGAACAATAAGAATTGAGATTTTTGCACAAGTCATTATGCAAGGTCCAAACAAGGGGGTCTACTATCTAGGTCAGCGTTGATTTTGTAGTCGGGCCTTAACCCTCCTCAAACTGATACTCCAAGGACAAAAACAAATTGAAGGATAATTTTTCGAAAATCGTTTTGAATTCTCAATATCATTTTTATATGGATGTGCTCGTGTATTGTGTGTTGGACAATTTTGAAATTTATGTACATTCCTCAATTGTTGGAGAACGAGGTGGCAGAGATGAAGATGGTGGGTCTGGTGGTGATAGGATTTTGTGGTGGTTTTTGTCAGGCATCGAATATGGTGATGGTGACGATGATAATGATGGTGGTGTAATAATAAATGTTGCAAATAGTAGCGTCAATGACGACGTCCCTGGTGGTGTAACAATAAATTTACAAGTGATGACAACAGCGATAACAATTGTATTAATACTAAATGTTATGACTAGTGATAGTCAGCGATGGATTAGGGGAAAGAGACAGGATTGGGATTTAGCATAGGTTTCCTCCAAACACATTATTTTTCTAGGTTAAAAAAAATTTATGTAAAAAAGGAAAAAATAAAAAATAAAAATGTTCCCCTAACTCTGCCCTTGATGATGGTGGTAGCGGCGGCAACTAAGGTGAAGATGAAAATATGCAGCCAAATATGTGTAAAATACTTTATTATAAGTGACGATAGTGACAACAACGGACCATGGTTGAAGAAGTGGTGAACAATGTGTTACGTAACAGTGTAACAACACAATATTACGTGTTACAAAATTTATTGGGAAAAGCTATTTGTACACTCCAAGTGTACATCATACTTGACAACTTCTTTGCGTGTAAATTGTTGGAAGGAAAGTGGTTTTTTATTTTTTAATTTTAAATTATCAAATAACAGTTTGCCATGTGGTAAATTGTCTAACTTGGTGGCATGGTTGTTAGAGGGGAACTTTTTATATATTTATTTTGTTTAAGAAATTGTAAAATGATAGTTTGTGATGTGATAAATTGTCAAATTTGGTGCCATGATTTAAATTTATTTTATCATACATATAATACGTATGTATTGCCCTTAGCCTTTATTTGTCAACCATTCTACCACATTCTATCCATTATTTTTTCTACGACACTTATTTTCTACCACATATTCTTCATTAAAATAATATTATACATAAATAAAAAAGTGTTCCTTCTTTTCTAACCACACATTTCAATATCAATTACTATTCTATAAATACACTTTTTGAAATTAAAGGGGCACAAACAAGCCCTTCATCTGAAAGTTATGGGTTTTGACTTGTACATATCACCTCCTATTGTTTGGTATGAAGACTTGTATTTGAGCTGTTTACATGACCTTTTTACAAAAATATCAAATGTATTTAGATCAAAAGATTGAAGTAAGAAAACGGATTTATATGAACAAGATTGACACTCTTGCTTCTCACATGTATAGTTGAGCCCATTTCTTCCATACGTTGGTGGATGATAGAAGTAGAGTAATGCTATATACTTGTGTAGTTCAACTCACCCATATATGTGGCCATACAGGATTAGTCCAATTGAACTTATCTTTACTATCATGTATTACAAATTATACGAGTTTTAAAACATCAATTACATTATGAAGGTGTTTGATAGGCATTTTTATGTAAAAATACATTTTAGAATAGTAAATTAATGTGAAATGTTTGTGTTGAGAAATAAGGAAATTTTTTTGATTTACGTATAATATTATTTTAATAAAAAACGTGTTGTTAAAAAGAAGAGAGAAAAAAATGTATTTTGAAAAAAATGACTACCAAACGGGGCCTATATTACTCATAGAAGTAATACACAGAGACACATTCTTTAATAGGAAAAATTCACATCTAATGGACAATACAATTTTCATGTCTAAAGTTTTAAACTTGCAAAAATCAGGTTTTTATTTATTAATTAAATATATTTTATTAATTAAAAATAATAAAGTCACATTTATACCATTAATGGTCAGAGGTACATAATTATAGGTCACAAACTTATTTATTAGTCATAGATTATTTCAAGGTCACAAATTAAAAATTTTATAAGTTACAGTTTATTTCATTAGTCAGAGATGAAAAAATTATAAGTCACAGTTTATCTATCGGTCACATATTTTCGAATTTGTTGATCACAATTATCAAATTTTAATGTCACAGTTAGATAGTTGGTCACGGGTAACCCAATAGATGGTCAATGGCCAGATATAGGTCACACACCACCACCACTACCTCCATTGTCACCACCACTACTCGCCCTCGCCCTCGCCCCATCACCGTTGCGCTGCCGCCGCCACCAATACCATGACATCACCACCAACAAAATCGTCACCACGAGATCCAATTAATTACTAATAAAAACCACGACAATTAACTCTCCAACCACGACCTCAATCGCTGCCAGAAACCATCTCAACCGCCACCACCAAACACACCAACAATACACAACCCACAACTTTACCATCGTCTCCACCGCCACACGACCACCTCTTCTTGTGACCACAACTGCCAGTTCAATCATCCACCGCGCCACCTACACCTCCAATCAACCTCTTCTTGTGATCACAACCACCAATTCTACCAAATAATCCCCAAATCGCTGCTGCCACCACCACTGCACGATACTATCGCCCATATTTAAGATTCATCACAACCTATTCAGATCGGGAAGAGAAAAAAAAAACAAAAAAGAAAAAGAAGACCCCAAACCACCTCCAGTGACAGCACCAGTTGGTGCCAAGAACTGCACCATCACGAAGCTAGGTCGCAGTAGCGTCGCAATGCTACATTGACGAGCTACAAAAATAAGTCGTCGTCAGAGTAAGTGAGTGAATGCTACCAACGAGGAGATCGAAGAACGATGGAGCCACCAAGTGAGCTTGCTTCAGAGGAGAGGAGAGAGGACAAACTGAATGGTTGCCGATGAAGTTGCTTTAGAGCTTCGTCGCCGTCATGAATCGCCGCTGCTGGTGGCGACAGTGGTGTTTTATGGTAGAGAGACGGAGAGAATATAGATTGTAGAGAGAGAAAGGAATTAGAGTTGATTTGGGTAAAATATTTAATATTTAAATTATTAAATCAATACTTGATTTCTAAATAATGAAACTTCGGCCCTGACTTTTGAATTGTGATGTTTGAATCCCTGATATTATCTAATTTCCACTTCTTCAATTGCACAAAAATTATCCAAGATTTAAGGGATCTGTAGTCTAATTGTTCTCAACAACAGGCTTGGTAGCTCCATAGCAGCAAAATAAAACCCAACATATGCAACTTCCTCGAATGAAAGGCAAAAATAAAGATGTCATGGATAAAATTGACACCCTGAAGATTTGTTTCAATCCAAGGCCAGCATCCTAACAATATCTAAGGCTAAATCATGGAAACTCAACATAGAGACGTGGAAATTCAACATAGAGACGAGCCCACGAAGAAAGCAAAGTCCAATAGGACAATAAAGACTCTTTCAAGTTTGACTCGTAAAAGTTCTATAATATATGAGACAAGAGGACGATGATTGAAAAGATCAAGATAATTAGATACAGACCTAAAAGTAGAAAATATCTCAACCACAGTCCGAGATTACTTGAGATCTAATAGAAAAAGGAGTTACTTGCCGGTTATACTTTTACCCATGCTATCCTCTCTGCTCAAACTTCGTAATATTTCAGCATCCGAGTGGAAGTGGGAATACTGTGCTGCCTTTATTGCTTATTGCGGGTATAATCAGAAGCAGCAAGGAGCGAACAAGACAGTTCGTAAAACAACAGCAGATAAAACAAAAAAAACATACAACTTGGGAGATTAAAGACATGTAAATGAATCATTAAGTATAAAACATCAGTAACATTCTACTTCAACTTGTCATGGTAAAAAAAATGGCTTGAATGTGTTGCACATAACACAAAACCTCAAAA